TTCAAATTTCAAATCACATCAGAAAAGCATTTAATTTCAATAAAAATGAAGGAAATAATCAAAAAGTTGAAAATAAAGTATCGGGTAGGGTTAGGTGTAGGGAAGGGCTTTTGTCCCAATAAGGTGGCAACCATTTAATAATTTGAATTCAAATTAAAATTTATACAAGTTATTATTGCACACTGTTTTATAATGTATTACAATGCTGAGGTGCAGATAATTTACACTATTTGCAATCAGTAATTAGCAGAATATCTACCCGCGCCCCTGGTTCCACTAGTTAATGTTAGTTAAAAGAGTAAGCAATACATTTGTTAAAGCATTTATTAATCTTTGTTAAAGTTAATTGTTCATTGTTAGTTCATGTGTAACAAGTACAACTTTTGATTTTAATAATTTTAGTAAATGTTGAAATTTACATGAACTAACAAAGAAAAGCATTTATTAATCTTAATCTATTGTAACTAAAGTAGTAACTAATGTTAACAAATATAATGTTACCTTTTTTCTGTGAGCAGAAAATGTATACAAATAGTTTGTTCTTGTTTATACACTTCTATGCTTATGTAAACAGGTAACCGACAAGTCTGGGCAATGGTGGAAAGTGAAAAACAGTCGTAATGAGGAGGGTTATGTGCCTCAGAATGTTCTAGAGCCTGCTGATGGACAAAGGCCAACAGTAAGTCATGGCCAATGCACACATTTTCTTTTCTTTCTTTCTTTTTATTTATTTTTACAAATGTATTCTTACTCTACATTTTTATTTAAAAACAATCATTTCAATAATGTATCAAGGACATGCTAAACAATGGCTTAATTCATATTTTTTAACATCGGTCAATGTATGACACCCAATTTTTCATCACTGTTTGGTCAGGACATGTATTGCTGTATATTTAACTAATAGATTTTTGCTATACACAATTCATTGTTTTATGAATGTTGCCCCCTATGTTCTCAGCAAAATATGAGAGGACCTCCATCTCTAGATATGAGATCTAGACCTGAGGAAGTCAAAGCCTGGTTACAGTACAAAGGCTTTTCGAAAATGTAAGAAACCATTTCTATCATCTTTAATTTTATTCTTTAAAATGGTCAAAAATACAAAAAACGTTTGCACCTAAAAAGTTTTTTAATTTGTATTAAATTTTGCGGACCATTTTTCTTGTATTTTTGACTGTGGATGTATTGGTCTTCACACTTAATTAGCTGGAAGAGCACACTGAGTGCATTGATTCTAGACTACACCAAAATGTAGTTCTGACACTTTACAACAGAAATAGCTGAACATGCTCCAAGAAGTCATTTATCAACCTGTTGTCACCCTTGATTCATCATGTATTTGTGTAGGACAGTCCAGAGTCTTGGGGTGTTTAATGGAGCAATGTTGCTGGGAATGAAACAGGATGATATCAGAGCGATATGTCCTGAGGAAGGAGGTCGAGTATTCTTCCAACTGCAGAGCGTCAGATCGACTGTTGCAGTAAGTCATGCAGCTCTATTTGTTCAAAGTAAGCTCCCGCCTATTTATGGAGCACTTTTCATTGTGGTGAAGTGATCTCACAGTATTCAGTGTGGTTTTATACCCGACGGTCATTTAATGAATGAGGCGGCGCTCACAATTGTCATCGGTCTCTATTTCCTTTGCAGCTTGCCAGTGAGGCTGAATACAGCCAGTATGGTGGCCGCTAATAATCTGAGGACACCGGTGCATTTCGATAGCAAGAATCTGAACGTGTCTGGACCTGAATGAACAAGAGCTATTCAGTAAACTCCTCAGCATTTCCATTCATTAGACAACAAGCCAAGGCTAATGCCTACAGACTTGTTCAGTTATATTACCCTTCACACATGCAAATGATGAATACATTTAATGCATTCATTTTATTTATTTGATGCAGATTGTTCCATTAAATTGATTTCCACTGATGTCACTGTGGTGGTGGGCACTTGTCTAATTGTACTGTATGTTATGTAGCTGTTATATGTGTTAAATGAAAATGAATCACGTCTGTAACACTCTGATCTTGACACTGTTTGCTAATTGTGCACTGTATATTAATAAATGGTCAATAATCAACACATTAGTAGCCATAGTTTATTGGTCTTAAAGTAAGCTTTTTATTTTGGGGTTAAATATATTTTTGTTACATTTAATTTCAAGGCAACAATCCAGTTGTGGGTTTGTGTTTTACCTCACAACAGTAATAAAGTGAATTTAATCAGGATGCCTTTGGTTTAAAAACCTTTTTTACATTTGCATTGTCATTCATGACCATTTAATTTCTAATCAATAAGGTTTAAATGCACTGAACTCAACAATGCTCTGCTTTATTGGGTCAAAATTAGGTCCTGAAGTTCATGCTTTTTTACAATTCAAACATTGAAAATCTGAACAGGGAAATATCTAATACACTATATCATTAGGATGTAAATTTAACTAATCCTTTTTTTATTGGGAAGGTTAAAATGTTGTACCAAAAAAATCAAGACAAAATCTTGTCATTTTCACTCCTTCTTGTTTCCCCATTTGGCCATCTTGTTGTTCACAGGTGTTTTCATGAACTTGCCCGACTTCATGTACTCTGCCATCTTCTCAAGGCTCTGACAGGGAACACAATTCATATCAGAATCACAATTTTTAACATTACAATTTATGTAAGAATATCAAATGATACTCTGTATTACAAACTCAATCCAAACCTCAAAGTGATCCAGGAAAGATCTCAGGTTTCTGTAGTCATCCAGGCACTCCGGGTGAAACATGCGATGCAAATCCAACAGCTCATACATGATGAAGTCCACAAATGTGATCTACAGGATGAGCCAAAACTGGGATGAGCTTGTCAAACAAATTATCTCTTTCCTATCACAAAATGGACAAATTAAAGTGCTTCCAAACATTGTGCCTAATTTACCTTGTCCCCAGCAAACCACTTCCTGTCCCCAAGGAAGTCAGAGAACTGCTTTAGAGTTCCTGGCAATTTCTCATTGTAACATGGTTTGTTTTTGTTCTGTGAAGTATTATAAATCACTCGTTATCTTAACAGTTTACAAAAAAAAAAAAAAAGAGTTTAGATTTTCTCCAAATAATCAATCAGCACTTAAGACAGTCTACTAAAGTTGCTCATGGGCACTCACAAAGTCTCCATAGCAGAGTTGGGCAAAACCACTGCGGAAATCCATCGCCTGGTTTTCCAAGATGTCAACTCTCATCTGCTCTTCTTCAGTTTCCCCACCTAGAAACATTACAGAGAGATGTTTTACATTAGTTATTTTCAGTGATGCTTTTTTTTTTAATGAAGAAATGAATGAAGTACTCACAGAGGTTATGTTTGCGGGCGATGTATCTCAATATGGCATTGCTTTGGACCACTTTCGTGTCTCCATCCTCTAGGTAGGGCAACTGGTGAAGGATAATGGTGGTTAGTTATTGCATGTTATACTGAACAACACTATGTGGGTAACTATGTAACTTACATTAGGAAAGTCCATCCCAAGTTTCTCTTTCTCATTAAACCAACAGCTTTTGTCATAATTGGGAGCTGCAAAGCAAGAATATAGAATCAACTCAATGTGCTTTTACATGGACAATCTGACTGTGTCTGCTACTGTATGTTATAATAATCATCACTTACCGTCACCACAAGAATAGAACTTCTCCTCATACTTGGTACCAGTGTATTCCAGCAGCAGACGGATTGGTTGAGCAAGCTTTAATCAGAGGAAAACCATGAAATATAGCAAATTTCAGCTGCTGTGAAACATGTTTTTCTCACTCTTGGAATAATTAACTGATTGTCAAGATATTACACTGTATATTAAAAAACTAAAGTTAATATCCTTATTTGCATATTTAAGAGATGGGCAACACTAATAAACTGGAATATCGAAAGAGAAAAAAAAAGAACGAGGCTTGATTTTTATGCATTTTCTTATCTCTAGCTTGCAGCAGACTGAAAGATGGAGGATGGTTAAGAATGTTTGCTTTTGTGTGTTTTTTTATATATTTAAGTGCATGGAATAATCATAATAAAAACTGCAATATTCCATGAAAAACAGTCTATTCCAATTTCATGGTGACTTTAGATCTTCAGAAACATACAGTCAATTCAAATACCCAGATGATGCTTTTATTTAATGGAGAAAACACAGTGGAAAGTGGAATGCTGAACATTTCATTCTTACAACTCCATGCTGCTTTTCCTAGAAACCATGTTGTATTCATAATATTGTTGGATGATAAAAAAAAAAAAAAGTTAATTTTTTCATGAATATAATGTTGAATCTGGGTAAATTCTTTATACATAAAAGCGTGTAATTAATATAAGATTATAACATGATGATGTAAAGTGTATCTTATTTCTCTGTATTAAAAGTTACTTTCTTTGTAGCTATTTTCCATCTTTAATTTGTATGAAGAGAATCTCTTGCCAAGGGCTTTAAACTCGCGTGAAAAGTTCTTATTAAAATAATGCCGCAGGCATTTAGTCTTAATTTGCAGTGCATGTTGGGGTGTAACCACACCCGAAGAAGCGGCTTCAGGTAAGCTTCAAATTTACATATAGCGAAGAATCAGTGGGCATGGCGAGACAAGACAAAGCATATTAAATTTATCCACAAATCCTTTAAAGACCCCCGACTAGTTCTGTGAAGCCCATGTTTAAAGTATAAAGTCATCGGTACCAAACTTTCCAACTAGTTCAGGAATAGAGTATCGACTTCCGTCCACTAAAAATGTAACTTTAAGCAAGCTATA